TAGAACCCTGGGGTGCCGGCGAAGCAGGCGGAGGATTAGCCAAGTGAGCCGTGGCGCTGGCCCCAGGTAAACTTTTAAAATTTGAGGTCATTAGCAGATCATCTTTTGATGTGGGGGAAGTGCACATGCACAGTTATCAGGCTGGGTTTGAATCTGGGCTCTCCCACTTCTTGTCCTTGGTATTACATAATGTAATATTGGAAACCCAGCTCCATTTTTTCACCAGTGCAGATGTTACCGTTTATGAGACAAAATACAGTCTCAGATGGAAAACTGAGACTGATGGCTTACTGCTTCCTGGTGTCAGCACTGCAAAGCCTAGCGGTCACCTGAACGTAGAAGACTACTTCTGGAACCTTCTGGTTATTACTTTGATTGATTTTGACAGATATTCTTTTCAGCCACTGTGTCTTCTGTGTGACAGTGACCGGGCCCTTTGGCCAGTGCAGGAGGACAGTTTGTCCTCTCTCTTTAATCCTTGTATTAGAGCGACATGGATGGTGCTGGCTTTGAAACGCAGTTAGTCGAGTTCATAATTTCAGATAGTTGTGATGGCACCAGCCGTAGTGCTAGCTGAGTATCACCAGTCCCTCTTCTGGTGTAGCAGGAGCTGTACAGGTAAGCTAGCATCATGGGTCTTGTTTCTGGCAAGTCATGGATCGTCCGGGGGCTGCTGTCAGTGACCTGTCTGTAGAGTTCCCTGGAGCTCCTGGGTGACCAAGTGTTAACTTCTGTGTTGGTTTCACTAATAGCCCTTGTACCTGTGATGGTGGCAGAGGTGCAGAAGTTGGTGAGGGCTGTCAGTGCTTTGTCCCAGGCAAGTCTGAACAGGACCTGGAAAGCTGATTAAAATGCTAATGAGCACAGTGAAGTTAATCGTAAAGTAAAAGATTTTTAACACATTGAGAAAGTTCTCCAGCCCTCAATCTGTTTTTCTTTTTAACTTTTGCCCACTGCTCCAGTCTGATGGGCTTGAAATCTACTTTATCTTTCTTTAAAAATAGTTGTTATTGCTGCAATTCTTAAGCTTCTTTTCAGGGTGGGTTTCTGCAGATGCCTTTTAACTCCTGGGGCGTGAAGTCGTTAAGTGAAGGCGGGCAGGAAGGGAAGGGTGGAGGAGCAGGCCTGGAGCTGCTTGGGGATGGGCATGGAGGTGACTCCATCTCCTGGGGACCCACCTGCCTGGCAGTGCCTGCTGCCCTCTGAGGCCTGTGGCTGGTCACAGCTGATTGGGTTGAGGGTTTGTAGGCTCTTTCTCCTGAGTGTGGGAGCTGCCTTGCTCTGTGAGGATCTCGGGACCGCGAGGCTGCAGCGTAGCTCATGTTATCCGTGGACCCTGACAGGTGCCTTTTCTTCAAGACGTTTGCAGTGGTAATCCCCGGGTTGTGTTGTCAGGACCTCGTCCGTTTTGTGCTTGTCCTTGCCATTTCTGTACTGCTGCCGCTCTGGCCGGGCAGGATGTGCCTTCACTTCTCTGGGAAGGGTAAGAAACTGCCTGGATCAGCCGGGAATGCCACCACTGGGTCTACTTGGGGCCGGTGCGGACGGCGTGAGCTTTGTGCAAGCTACAGCAGCCTGGAAGTGGTGGCCTCGCTTCCCCCAGATACACCCCTGGCAGCGAGTGTTCTGTAGGCCTTCTGCATGGGTTGTCATGAGACTCCGCCGAGTGAGAGTAGTAAGCGGGATCCCACTGTTGCCGCGGAGCAGGGTGCCGGCTTCTGGTTCTCAGGGCAGGCTGTGTGGCCACAGAGGGCTCCTGAGTGAGCCGGGCCAGCCTCCAGGGAAGCAGCCTGTTGTGTGGTTGGGAATGGGTAAAGGTGTGCCTAAGGATACGCACAGTGGCGTGGCTTTGGTAGCTCCTTCTGACATAAGCGTTGGTCGCTGGGGTTCCTTCTGCAGCAGGGAAGCGTTTTACCCTCTAATATTTCCTCCCACCTCAGTGCCTGGAGCCTGGAGCCTGGAGCCTGGAGCCTGGAGCCTGGAGCCTGGAGCCTGGAGCCTGGAGCCTGGAGCCTGGAGCCTGGAGCCTGGCATCCAGGGACTTCTGAAGCCTTGGAACTTCCTTTCTTCCCAAGCCTCCAAGAACGCTGGGAGCACGGATTGTACTCACGGAGCCGTGCCTGGCTCCTAGGACTTTGGGTGGTTTTTATGCTTTTTTGGTGACAACTTTTAATTCTCATTTTTTACATTTCTGTTTCAGTGTTTCGGGACATGAAACTTAATCCACAACAAGCTCCACTATATGTGAGTAAATCGTGACATTTCTTTTAATTTTGTACTTACCAGTATTGTCACAATAAACTTGGCTTGTGATAGGAATTGTCAGGAAATTGTAACCATGTACATGTGTACTTATTGATGAAATTTGCCTCAGAAATCGAGGTTAATTTGGTGAATACTAAATAACGTAAGCAGAGAGCACATAATGCATGTCATGTAGGACTTGGTGGGTGGGGGCTTCAGGATCCCCACTGTGAGGGCCAGTTCCCTGGGCAGCCACTAGGTGGTGACCTGCCGCTGGCGGGAGGACTGCCCAGGCAGCGCCTGCGTGGAGGAGGTGGCAGGAATGGGCCTGGGGCAGGACCAGGAGTGGGTGCATCTGTGTGGTGAGACGCACCTGTTTTGGAGGCACTGCTGGATGCTGGGCTTCTGGGGCCTGGAGAGGGTGAGGGCAGGCTTTGGAAAACCAGGAACTTGCGGTTGGGGTTCATGTGCTCAGGACTTGTGCAAGACAAAAGGCAGGTGACCGAGGTGGTAGGCAGGAGTGGGGAGCTGGGCGTGTACCCCAGGTGTGGGGCAGTCCTGGTGTGTGTGTTGAGGCTGTGGCTCACTTCCCATGTTCGCTTTAACCACAGTGTATAAAAACAGCCACCTTTGCAACATGGTAACTTCTGCCTAGCTGATGGTTATGTTGGATGCTTCATGTGCTTATTTTCTTCCCAAACTACTTGCAGATAATTTATATCCAGCAGTGGGTTTGCACATGCACGAAGTGCCTTGGCTATTTTTAAAATAGCCTTATTAGGGTGTAATTTAAATACTGTAAACTTCTGCCTCCAGAGAGTGTGATGGGTTTTTAGTAGCTGTGCAGTCATCATTGTCTGACTTGAGAACACTTTTTCACCCTACAAACGCGTAGTCTCCATGCCTCCCAGCTACTGGCACCACTGCCTACTTTGTACCTTTATCGCTTTACTTGTTCTGGAAGTTCCACTGTATAGATTCAGCGTGCAGCCTTCTGTGACTGGCTTCTTTCACTTAGTCTCGTGTTTCCAAGGTCCCTCCACTGTAGAGCATGTGTCAGTATCTTGTTCCTTTCTACTGAAGAATGTGATATTCCTGTGAGTGGATATACATTTTATCATCCATGCATCAGTTGATGAGTAGGTTGTCCCCATTTTTGGTTATTATGAATGATGATACTGTGAACACCAAGGTGTGTGTGTGTGCGTGCTGGCATCCCATAGGGGTGCCCGTTCATGTCCTGGCTGCTCCTTTTCTGATCCAGCTCTCTGCTTGGGATCCAGACAGACCTCTTAGGAATTCTGGCTTTATCCTAATGTGCATCTGCTGGCCTTGGTGACCCGGCTCCTTAGGTAGATTGAATGTGTGGGTTGTGGACTGCTGATGTGAGGAAAGAGAATTTTTGTCCTTCTTGGTCATCTTTGAGATTCATCTGTTAGATGAACATGAATATTCTTGAGGGACGTTTTGGCAGATTTGTGTCTCACTCGTCAGAGGACAGTGTGACAAGAAACTACTGCTTTGTTAGGTTCTTGGTGGCAGAATCACTGTTTGGGAGGACCAGCGTCCTTTGCGGGTGCGCTGCTGTGAGGCAGTGATGAAGTGACGGAGTGAGTGTGGGGTCATCAGGGCTCACCTTCTGCTCGGTGACTGCTGCGTCCCCTGTGGCCTCTCGAGAACAGGCAGCTCGTGCTGCATAGCACCCAGAGCACACGCGCACCTGCTGTCACTGGGCTGTCACGGCACAGCCGCATTCTTTCCCTCCTCAACACAAGGAATCAAAAGCTCAGGATGGCTCATTCTCTGACCGGCTCTACTATTCAGCCCAGGTATTGTGGCGGTGGGCCGACAGCAAGTCTGAGAGTAGGCCTCAGACCTCCCCCACGGCAGAGGGCTCCGGCACCGGCCCCCAGGCAGGGCTGCTGAAGACGCCAGGTGGGTTCCCACTCAGCCCTTCAGCGGTCACTCCTGCGCACTGAGGCCCCCAGCAGAGTCCAGGGGATGGGTGCAGGGGGCGTCTGGACAGCTGAGCACATCTGGAGGGTTCTGCAGAGAGCCTGGGAGCCCGTGCTCCTCCCGCTCCCTGCACCCTCCCCTGCCTGCCCCCTCTGGGACAGCTTGTGTCTGCACGTCTCCCTGAGGTCTGTGAGCAAATTCTGGGTCCCGAGAGGAAGCTATGGGAACCCCAGTTCATAGCCTGGGGCTTGTGTCAGGCCTCTGAAGTGGGGTCAGTCTCCAGGAGTGAGCCTGCAGCCTGAGGGGTCTGACGCTGTCTGCCTGGCCCTCCACATTGATGTCAGAAAATGAACTTTATTCTGAGAGTATTGTAGGAGGAACCGAGTCAGAGTTGGTGTGACCACTCTGTCCTAAGGAATGGCCAAGGTGAGGCTTTACCCAGAAATGCGACTCTCAAATCCATGTTCTTCTTTTGTATTCCAAGCTACTAACACTGGGTTCACAGCTGTTCTAGCAACACACAAATCTCACACACATAGCATGGTAAAGGCTTGCACAAATAAAGCCAGTCTTACAAGTTACCTGTTTAATTTTTCATTTTGTGTTTTAAAAGTTTAGACATTGTATCTAGAATGAGTTCTGATCGATAGAAGTTAAATGAGGGCAACTTGTTTCTTTTAACATTTACTCATGTGCTTATCACTCTCAGTATTTTTTATATATATATATATATTTTTTTTTTTTCCTTTTCATTGTGAAGAAAGCTTCAGATCGCACAGGCCACATCCCCTAATGTTTTCAGCAGGCACTTCCTCAGAACCGAAGCATCTGCATCCTGGCCACAGTGCAGCTTCCAGAAGCAGGCACTGCAATCTGTCATGGCCCCAGCCCGCATCTACGTTTCTCTGGTTCCTCCAGTCGAGTGCTCATGCAGGACTCTCTCTGTGCCTCCCCAGGCCAGGGCTGAATCTAGGGTACACCTGCATTTACCTTGCTGCATCAGTGCCTCTGCGTTTGTCTTTCATGACAGATGATGTTTCTGAAGAGTTCTTCCATGGCAGTTTGGGTTCCTAGGTCTTCTCATGGTCTCGAGAGTAGTGCTGAGTCCGTGTGCCCTTGATCAGTCTCATCAGGACACGTGATTCATTCTTATTTGGAGCTTGGTTAAGGTGCGTTGAATTGTGATTTTCAGGCTCCAGAGGAATGGGCGTGAGCGGTGCCTGTTCCCCTCTAGCTGTGCCTCATTTGGAAGGGCTGTTTGCGTGATGGTTTCCCTAACATGGGGTGCCCTGTTCTCTGCAGTGTGGACCCTTGAGTGTAGCTGAAGAGCATGTTGTGAGGAACCCGCTGCCTGAGGTTTGAACAGAGCACGTCTGTGCCTTGGTCTACCAACCATATGGAACGTACGGGACACTCAAGTGAGCAAAGGGCAGTGTCACTACGACTATTAAGTGTCAGTGCAACCCCTTCTTCTGGATAGAACAGGGGCCTTTCTGGAAGCTGCTCTGTGTTTCCCGGGTTTCACGTTAGTTCTCCTGTGTGGCCCTGAGTAGTGAGCGGTGCCATCTTTATGACGAAGTTGTCATGCATGAGGAAATCAGAGTTGTGAGGAAATCCTCCAGTCTCTGTGAGACGTGCCTTAGTGTGCCTGAGACAGGTTTATTCCAGAAACGCATTCTGGGATGTCACCTGCTTACCTTGTTGGAAAGCACTGTCTTCGCCCTTGTGAGGTTGATGAAATGGGCCACTTGCCTGCAGCAAACCCTGTGCCTGTGAACACAGGGCCTGTGTCCTTCAGCTCTTAGTGCTTCTTACCAGCAAGGTGGGAAGTGGGTAAGGGAGGAGAGGTGTCGCCGATAACAGAAAAAGCCAAACACTTAAAGAAAAGATGGGTGTTTATGTAAGAAACACCCCTGCCCCATACCCACTGAGCCACTAGTGTGCCTAGCAACCCAGAACCTGGACCCTAGCAGCAGTAAACAGAACCTCCCCCAGGCTAACAGCTGAAAAGGAAGCAAGATTGTCAGACTTCCATGGAGGAGGAGGAGAAGGAGGAGGAATGCCTCTTGTCCTGCTTCCCAGACCCTGGCTGATGCTCTACAGGGTACAAGAGAGTAAACATCAAAAAACAGGAGGCCTGGATGATGAATTGTCTAATTTAGATGCCAGGAAAAGTCCCTCCCTCCATCCCCCGATTCACACTGAGTGAATGTCCACACGCGGCTCCACATAATGGGGGTGGACTTTGTGGGCACACATTCAGTGAGTCATAGGGACCATGGGTTTTATGGTGGCGTGGTCCAGTGTTGTGGGGAAGTGGGGAAACCCAGCTGCATAGCGACCGAGGGTTTGCCTGCGAGCCCCCCAGGAGGCTGGGTCTGGTCAGGAAGCAGAGTCCTGCTGACAGTTGTGCAGGATGTGTGTTGTGTGTTGCTAGGAACCTAAGCCTCCAAGTACATGCAGAGAGAAGTCCTGGGGTTGGACTGGGATAGATGCACGAAGTAGGAGGGAAGAAATGGAGCGGCGGAAGCCTGGAAGAGGAAAGAACCTTGGCCGCAGCGCTGAGCTGTGTTCTTGGAGAAGTGAGCAGGTAAGGGCAGAATATCTGAATGAGCTGTGGGCACATGGGGGAGTAGTGTGCAGCCCTTGTTTGTGAAAGAAACAGGCCAAAGGAAATGTGTATTGTAACTCTTGACCCAGGGAAGTCAGTAATAGATCTCAGTAAAGCACGTGGTCAGACATGAGGGGGCTTTAAAAAGTTTGTGGAAAATGAAATCAAAGATAAGTTTATTTTAGTGCAACAATTTCAAAACCCATGCATACAAGCAGTCTTCAAAAAAGGGAGGGGCTGGTGCTGTGGCATAGCTGGTAAAATTGCTGTCTGCGTACCAACATCCCATAAGCTCCACTGCCAATCCAGCTCCCTGCTTATGGTCTGGGAGAGTAGCAGTGGATGGCCTAAATGCTTGGACCCCTGCACCTGCGTGGGAGACCTGGCAGAAGCTCCTGGCTCCTGGCTCCTGGCTCCTGGCTTTGGTTCAGCCCAGCTCTGGCAGTTGTGGCCATTTGGGGACTGAACCAGTGGATGGAAGACCTCTCTGTGTCTCTGCTTCTCTCTCTCACTCTCTATCTCACTCTCTCACTCTAACTCTGCCTTTCAAATAAATAAGTAAATCTTTTTTTTTTTTTAAAAAGTTTATGGGAAATGCAAATTATGAGAAGACTATGCATGGATTTTGATTTTCTTTGCTTTGTTTCTTTGCACCAGATAAAATTATCTTTTACTGGAATTTTCTCAAGTGATCTACTGGCCTTGGACCAGTAAGCATGTGACCAAGGCCCTGGAGCTGTGAAGGGCTTCCTCCTGTGTAAGGTGCAGCTCCTGCTGTTCTTGGCCTTGTTGTGTGCTAGCAGGATGTTCCTGGCAGGCTTCCATTGTGTTCCAGTGGGCACTGGATGCTGGGTTCATTTCAGGAGCAGCGGCAGCTCCAGAGTGGATGGCTGTGCCCAGCACACACGGGCTGGCTGACATGACTGGAATGATCTGCCTTTCTCAGACTGAATTGTAAACTTGCTTTTTTTGTTTGTGTCTCAGAGTTGTCCTCTGTTGAAAAAACTCTGGGTTTCAGAAAAGCCAAAAGGCATTTCTCCCTCCAAATTAAGTAGTTTCTGAAGTATTTTGAGAATTTAAAATATTTAAAAATTATTTAATTTTCTGAGCTACTCAGAAGTGAGATGCAAACTCTGCCTCAAGATGATATGCGGGGACCGGCGCCGTGGCTCACTAGGCTAATCCTCTGCCTTGTGGCGCCGGCACACCGGGTTCTAGTCCCGGTCGGGGCGCCGGATTCTGTCCCGGTTGCCCCTCTTCCAGGCCAGCTCTCTGCTGTGGCCCGGGAGTGCAGTGGAGGATGGCCCAAGTCCTCGGGCCCTGCACCCCATGGGAGACCAGGAGAAGTACCTGGCTGCTGCCATCGGATCAGCGCGGTGTGCCGGCTGCAGCGCGCCGGCCGCGGCGGCCATTGGAGGGTGAACCAACGGCAAAGGAAGACCTTCCTCTCTGCTGCTCTTTCTTCAAGGGGGCTTTGGGTATCCAAATTAATAATAAAAAAATCTTATAGATATGCGGGATGATCGGCATTACCTGCCATGGGTCTGGGGGAAAACCCACATTTGTGAGGTTTGCAGGGGGAAGATTCATTCCAGTTACAAAATGACCTCCAGGAGCCTAGCAGGCCTGTGATGCTGTTTGCTTGTGTACCAAATGCTGTTTTTTTTTTTTGAACAGGCAGAGTTAGACAGTGAGAGAGAGAGACAGAGAGAAAGGTCTTCCCTCCGCTGGTTCACCCCCCAGGTGGCTGCCACGGCCAGTGCGCTGCGCTGTGCCGATCCGAAGCCAGGAGCCAGGTGCTTCTTCTGGTTTCCCATGTGGGTGCAGGTCCCGAGGACTTGGGTCATCCTCCACTGCCCTCCCGGGCCACAGCAGAGAGCTGGACTGGAAGAGGAGCAAATGAGACAGAACCGGCGCCCCAACCGGGACTAGAACCCGGGGTACCGGTGCTGCAGGTGGAGGATTAGCCTAGTGAGCTGCGGCGCCGGCCCATTTGCTGTTTTGTAACTGCGTGTAGCTGGAGGAGTGGGAGGACAGTCAGATGTCATGAAAAGGCTGTGTGGTGCTGGGTGCCTTTCTTGTGTAAAACGTGCAAATCCAGCGTGCTCTGAGGAATTCAGGCGTTTGTTGTGAGGCTGTCATTCTGTTTTCCCCATGGAAGGGCATGTGTTACCGTTGAGAAGCTGTTCTTGGCAGGTCTCTGTGGTCATGGCCAGATTGAAACCTTACAAGGGCACTGAGGTCGGCTTAGTATTTCCACTCCCAGACAGGGCGAGGGCTCCGCGGGGACGCGTCCTGCTCCCCAGACCCCGGCTGATGCTCTGTAGGGCAGAGAGTACACATCAAGAAATGGGAGGCCTGGACCAATCATATGCCAGGAAAAGTCCCTCCCTCCGCCCCCCGATTCACACTGAGTGAGTGTCCACACGCGGCTGCACTCGTGGGGGTGTGTGCATTCTCTGGAGCCCTGGGAGGAAGGGAGGTGTGGAGAGCACAGGCAGTGCCCCTGTGTTTGGGAGGAGGGAAACTCTGCTGCCACCCTTCTCCTCCCACCACGCCACGCCCAGGTCCCTGCACGTGTGCTCAGAGAACAGCTTAGAGAGCCCAGGCAGCGCCTAGATGAAGGTGCAGGTGGAGTGACCATAATTGGCACGAATAATCCAGGCTTGGAAGGCCGCAGTGTGTGGACGCCCTCGGCTGAACGGCTCAGCTGTCCCCTTGCAGGGAAGAGGACCCGTTTGGTACTGACAGTTTGGTCCTTCTTCCTGGGAAGGGCTTTTTTTTTTTTTTTTTGGACAGGCATAGTGGACAGTGAGAGAGAGAGAGAGAGAGAGGAAGGTCTTCCTTTGCCGTTGGTTCACCCTCCAATGGCCGCCGCGGCAGGCGCGCTGCAGCCGGCACACCGCGCTGATCCGATGGCAGGAGCCAGGTGCTTCTCCTGGTCTCCCATGGGGTGCAGGGCCCAAGCACTTGGGCCATCCTCCACTGCACTCCGGGCCACAGCAGAGAGCTGGCCTGGAAGAGGGGCAACCGGGACAGAATCCGGCGCCCCGACCGGGACTAGAACCCGGTGTGCCGGCGCCGCATGGTGGAGGATTAGCCTATTGAGCCGCAGCGCCGGCCCCTGGGAAGGGCTTTTCCCCTGCAGGAGCTGAGCCACCTGACTGTGGGCTGTGTTTTGCTGTTGCAGAAGAGCCTGTCGGCCTGCCGATCTCCTGAGTGGATTACCTGCCCCTGCCCTGACAATGGGCCTGCTGACTGGCTGCCCAGTTTTGTGGACTAGGGGCTTTCCAGCTGCTGGGAGCTTCCAGCTGGGTGCTTAAATAGTGACACTTTGTTACTAGTGCCAGAAGAAATAAGGAAGTCAAGTGTTCCTCAATCCAGCCTTGAGGCAGAAATTCCAGTTTCCTCTGTTGGACTTTTTAGTCAGTTTTCAGACACTTGCTTTGAAGTTACTGGCCTTTACATCTGAAAGTAGTATTTTCATATTTTTCCTTGGCATTTTTAGAAAAAAGATACACAGGATAAACACGTCTCAAGGCCTGTGTACAGGCTTCTTTATTTTATTTTACCTTTTAGCATAGTAACTCACTGTTCTCCAAGCTCCAAATAACGGTGAAGGATTAAAATTCACATTTGGTGCTAGTGAAAAGAAGTCTTGCTGTCCAGGTAAGAACAAATGCAGTGCCCCGCATCCTTAGTTCACTCACAACAGGTATCTGCGAAGGACTTGTCAGGTGAGTGGGGATGCGGTCTTAGCGGCACGGGTTCTTCACTGGCGACTGGCGCAGAGGCGCGTGTAGCGGGATGCCAGTGCTGCTTCCCTGTGTGCTCGTCCCCTGCCAAGTGGGCTGGGAGGAACGAGAGTGGTAGAAAGTGTTGGGAAGCCTCAGGAAAGAAAGATGGAGGCCCTGCCCACCTGGCAGGGTGTGAGAGCTGGGAAGGCAGGGTGAGAGGAGGAAACGTCTGGAACCAGCTGTGGACGTGGTGCTGTCAGTGGTGTGCAGGTCCTGGGCTGAAGGGGTGGGCAGTTTGTTCTCTGGGGCATCCTCGCGATGCTTTCACTGTGCTAGTCCAACCCCAAGGGCTGAAGCGGCAATGTCTCTTAGTAAGAGGAAGTAGTGATTTTCAGAAGATACTTTGGTTAAGGTGTTAATTTCTTCACAGTGGATGTTTTTCAAAGATTATTTATTTGAAAGGCAAATTACAGAGAGCGGGAGGAATTTTCCATCTTCTGCTTTACTCCCCAAATGTCTGTGCTGCCTGGTGCTGGGCCAGGTGGAAGCCTGGAGCCTGGAACTCCATCTTGGTCTCCTATGTGGGTGGCAGGGAGCTAAGTACTTGAGCCATCTTCAGCTGTTTTCCCCGAGCACATTAGGAGGGAGCTAGATTGGAAGTGGAGCAGCCGGGACTTGAACTGACATTCACGTGAGATGCTGGTGTCGCAGCCAGTGGCTTAATTCACTGTGCTACAATGCCAGCCTCTCTTCACAATATTCTTATTTCATTAGAATTTCTCACAAATTCTTCCTCTGTGGCTGTGGGTAATTAAAGCCAAATTTGTAATAGGAGCAGAGCAGGCCCTGGTGCAGATGGAATTGCTCAGGGCATATGGGTTTGGATTGAGGTTATAGACAAGGTGCTGACAGTGATTCTTTGATTTATTTGTTTGAAAGGAAGAGTGGCAGAGAGAGAGAGAGAGAGAGAGGTGTTCTATCCACTGGGTCACTCCCCAGGTTGCTGCAATGGCTGGAGCTGGGCTGATCTGAAGCCAGGAGCTTCTTCCAGGTCTCCCACATGGGTGCAGGGGCTCAAGGACTTGGGCCATCTTCTCCTGCTTTCCCAGGCCATATCAGAGTGCTGGATCAGAAGTGGAGCAGCTGGGACTTGAACCTGCGCTCATATGGGATGCTGGCACAGCAGGTGGTAGCTTTACCCTCTACACCACAGCACTGGCCCCTGACAGTGATTCTTGAACA